AGAGAGAGACCGAGAGAGAGAGAGGAGAGAGAGAGAGAAACAGAGAGAGACAGACAGATGTACAGCAACAACAGTAGCAACAATACATTAATAGTAATGATCGATGACGATCATGAAAAAGACGATGGAGATGACAGGATTAGTTTTTCTGCATCTGTCTGTGATAGGATTGTGTCTAATTTTTGTAATATTACGTAAATGAAAGAATGCCATTTAGAGTAGCTACTATCTGTAGACAGTGAGTCTCTGAGGTTTTTAGAAGTTATAAAATTTCAGTTTCTGAGTTTAACATCAGAAAATTGCTGCTCATCCAGGATTTTATGTCCTTAAAACATGTTTGTAATTTAGATATTGATTAATTTCATCGGGCTTGATTGATAGATATAACTGCGTATCATCTGCATGCAATGGAAGTTAATGGAGTGATTCCTAATAATGTTGCCTAAAGGGAGCATATATAACGTAATAGCATTGGTCCAAGTTACAGAACCTTGTGGAACTCCATGATTTAACTGTAGTATTTATTGACGATTCATCGTTAACATGTACAAACTCTGTGAACGATAATAATAAACTGATAAATAGGACTAAACCAGCTTAGTGCCGTTCCTTAATTGCCCATTTGATGCTCAAGTCTCTGTAAAAGAATATTCATGGTCAATAGGTGTCAAATGCAGCACTAAGATCTAATAATACCAAGTACAGAAGTCCATTGTCAGAAGCAATCAAAAGGTCATTCTTAACTTTAACCAGAGCTGTCTCTTGCTGTGATGAACTCTAAATCCTGACTGAAAATTTCCTAAAAAATTATTATTGCTAGTAATACGCTTACCGTAGCACGTAAGAGTGAATGGAGTGATTCCCAAAACCCCAAAAAATAACAATTCAACAATAACACTCTTTATCACTGTGTGTTAGATAAACCACCTAAACATCACAGTTTACTGCTTTTCTTTGTCTTTTATGACAACAAAACCAAACAACTAACCGATTTATCGAGATTTATTAGAGAAGAGAATTATTGACAAATCAATTTATAATGAAAATGAAGGATAAAATAAATATATGTAATAAATATAATATAGGATAACAATTCAAACATAAAGAATATAAATGCTAAAGTAAAAAAACCAATCAATAAACTATTGATAATAAATAAAAAGAAATACTACACTGGTTGTAGGAAGGACAGTTAGACAGTTATCATCATTATTCTTGGTTTCCATGGAATTCTTGTGTCTGTCTACCTTGTCAAAAAAGTCTGCTAACACCAAACACCACTGAATATTTGTATTCAATTCAAAAAATGGCATACAAATGGTAACATATAAGAAAATGCTGTATTTATTATTTCATATCAAAACACTGGTTGTCAGCAGCTTCTCGTATCGCTTTGTGAAACCTGCTTAACGCTGATTCTCACCTTCATTGTTGTCACAGGGCTGCGTGTTGCAAGACTGGTACTGAACCCTCTGTCCCTCACAGTACTTCCCTCCGTTCTGTGGCACAGGGTCAGTGCACTCCCTATAGGAGAATTCCACCCCACCTCCGCATGTTCTGGAGCACTGCTGCCACGGTCCCCACGAGCTCCAGCCGCCATCCACAACCACCTGCAGGAAAACACAGCAAGAGAAGAGGGAAAAAAGAGCAGTCAGAGTAGTTGGTTAGAGCTCAGTGCCAAAGGCAATCTCAGCTGTGTAGCCTAAACCACAGTCTGGGCTTCTGGGTTTGAGGCCGCACAGTGTGTTGGCGTGCCGCGACTGCAGGCTAAATCTGTGTTGAAGTTCGGCACGCGCCTGCTGTCTGACTCTACCCACATTCCTGCCACATGTGTCACTCACCACTTGTGGAACCTGCCATGCTGCAGCTTTGTAAGGCAAAATTTAAAGTGTGAGTATATGCTAGTGTGTGTGCATGTGTGTGTTTTTGCTAGCGTGGGTGTCCTTTCCAGAAGTTTTATGAGTTTGGACCAGCTAACGTCCCAACTGCCAGCACGTCTGGGTTCATAAACAGATGTGTGATCATAACACAAGGAGAAGATATCAAGGCAACCAAGCTAAAATGAAACACTGAGATGTATAAATGTTCTTTAAGGAAATATAAAAAGGCATCATGCAGCAGCTGGATTTGAACCTACCAAGTCCAACAATGCTGCAGGCTTAATCTGTGCTTTTAGACTGTACTTTTCATTCATGTATTCCAACTTAAAACTGCACACAGCTGCAATAATGAATATTTCAACTAACTGGGACACTGTATTCCCTTCTTTTTCCTAAATCAGCAGATTTCCAGTGGAAATTTTGTATTGGGTTGTTGATCTTATGGTAACTTTTCTGGAGCTTTCAATTGTATGAGGCAATCTTCAACAGTTGTCATGGCATTTTAGATGTTTTCTGAGCACTTCTTGTCCGTGTTGTTTTAAAAGTTGAACTTCAAAGTCTATTCTTGACCTTGGAAACGGTACGTCCCCAGAATTTTTTCAAAGGGGCCACTAAAAATCTAATATCAGTATACATTAATTTAATTTTATTTGGTTTAAATGAATAGTACCTAATGTGAAATATCAGTTAGGAGTGTATTATGCAGTACTCATTACTCAGTAGCCTATTATGCATAAGGAGTAGGGGGTGTGGTGGGAGCTGTTCTGGAGCTTTTGATCGAGTCACACTATTGAGAAAATGTTTCACATACATTAATGACAGACCTATTATCTGCTATGTATGAAAAGCCCAGTGTGAAAACAAACATCTGTCATCAATCTGATGATGGAGTTAATCTTAAAGTTGCTGACTTATGAGTTTTTACAAGCCTGATCACTCGATTCCTGACTAAATGAGCAGTGCGCTTCAAAGGAAGTGACTCATCGAAACCTACGGGGTAGTTCTCAGCAGCAAGCAAGTGCAAGCAAATAAACAATGTCAGCATGCATGCAACATGAAACTAGAAGTAAGCTGGGTAAGGATTTACAGTTAACTGATGTCCTATATCCCAGGTAGTGTGAAGTGGTCTTATCAAAGCTTTTTCACTAAGAATCAATGAATCAGGGCCTTTCAGCCTTCATTGTCATATTCTCAGTATTTTTACATACGTTAGACAGTGGCCACTGTATCCGCAATTGACAATTACAGATTGTTGGTAAATGCTAGCACAAGAAGAGTTACAAAGTTAGCTAACTGACTAACATTAGCTATCATTAGCTACCATAAGCTACTGGTTATAAACAGACCTGTTAGTACCCGTTACTGTGTGTATGCAACTCTCAGCAAGGATGAGAAGGAAACAAGACGTCTAACTCGTTAGCTACTTTTACTAATAATGATTGCAACACATTGTGGATAATTAAAGTAGATAACGAGTAAGACATCCTGTTTCATTCTTATCTCTGTTGAGAGTTGCACATGCCAATAAAGCAGGAGGTAAAGATCGGGCTCCAACAAGACCACCTAAGGCTGTAGCAGTGTATTGAATTGAGCAAGAGTGTGCTTTATTGCTAATGAAGAACATGTTTTTTTCTTTAAAAGTGATACAGTCTTGGTTTGGTTAGACCAACTACTACTTTTCTGATAAACACTTACCAGCGGTTGCATCACCTCCTGGGTCGGCATGCAAGCTCCATGGAGGCAGGTCCCATTGAGGCTACAGGGGGTGCCGTCAGCCCAGGGCAGGCTGCCATTCTTGGTGGAGCACTGAGGCGTCCCGTCCTCCTGACACCACAGCTGGCTGCAAATATCACTGTCTGAGGTGTTGGGGCAGTGGACAAACTCCTCTCCAAAAATCTGCTGGCACTGCTGGTCCAGGCTGTACTTGGTGCCTGGCAGCTCACTTGGTAACGGCATGGTACTCTCAGGGACATCCAGCAGGCAGTCCCCTGTGGTTACAATACAAAGAAACACTGTATGAGGCTGGTTATATTGTGGTTTATAGAGATTATGGACTCAGCAGCACTGTGACAATTGTAATTGTGTTGCTCTTTGTGTGTGGCATGACAACAGTGGAAAAATATTCAGGGCGAGTTGTGTCCTGACTATAAAAATGAATCATTTAGATGTAACTAATGCAGTGGAGTTTTATAGGCAGCCTAGTGCTCTGAATCTGGACATTTGACAGCTATTCTAAATCTGAATTTATTTATTGTTCCTCTAATGATTCTTTATTACATTCAATAAGCTTTTTGTCTGGAGTTGTCAATGACGTCTGCAGTTCGGAATGAACATTCTCAGCCACATGAGTTTTTGTTGGAGGCATTTTACAACTGATAAAGAACATATTTTGCTGACACCAGCTGTTGCTTTTGGCTGACGAGGTGAAGAACAGGAAGAAGTCCATTGTATGACTCAGTGGAAAGAAAGGTTCACTGATAGGTCTAGCAAGGATACAAACAATACAAGATGCACAACACGAGATGGGGAGAGGGAGCAACGGAGGCGAGGCAAAGAGAGAGAGGCAGAGAGGGAGCGAGCATGGAGAAGAGGATGTGGAAATCTAGGGCAAGATAAACTATCTCTATAACCCATAATTTAAGGGGAGCAACATGTTTAAGCAGGAAAGCCATAGTAAGAGCGCGAGAGGAATAACAGTATGTTTTATTCATCTCTGAATGAGCCCTAATAACAGAGTGTTGTGGCAGACATCCACGTTGGCACGTTGTCTCTACAGGGCTGCTCACTTTCGGATTTACTCAGTGTGTAATTTTTAACACGCTGGGGCGACGACCTGAAATATTTCCTACCGTGTCCATTGTCAAAGAACTCTGTGATGTAGATAGCGCTGCAGGGAGACCAAGGTGCAGTCTTGTTGAGGCCGACAAACAGAGGAGCCATCAGGTAATGTCCTCCTAGATCTCCAGACCGCCTCTCACAGTCTTTGGAGTCGTCATGAGGCATACTCAACACATGGCCTGCAGTGTGAAAGGATGCATTGATAACACTGATAGACAAAAGTGTAGTTGGATGGATGAAAAAGCCTTAAAGCTACACATGAAAGAACTTGCCTATTACACTACATTTCAAAAGTTTTTCCATCAATCCTACACCCACACCAGCCCACCCTTGTGACAATAAATGGGATCTAACCGAGCTCGTGTGCAGCTGTGAAGGCAGCTTGCAGGCCGTTATCCTCAATTACTGAGCAGCTTCTTTTGGGATCGCACATCGTCCCAACATCAGCCACACCCAACGTGTCGCAGCTCTTCTGACCGCAGATGTCCTGCAACACAGACACACACAGAAAGCACTGAAACTGGAGCACCAAGGTCATGGTGATGGAGTTAGATTTGAAAAGCTGATACCAACACATAGGAAAGCAGGTGTTCAAAATCTTATCGTATCATATTATGTGTTATATCTTATTGAGGTTGACAAGCGTCTGATACAGAGTGACCAATGAGTGGCAGGTTGTATGCCATTCTGTGTTACTGGCATATGCCAATTTCGGTCTGCTGATTATGATTTGCAACTGCTGTGGGCAACTATTAAAAGACCTGTCATTCGTCCACAGGCAGAGACCACTTTTCATAATTGTGTACTGCTCTTGTTTTAGTCAAGTCACGTCCATTCTTAGCAGTATGCTAGTGCTAGTGTTACTTTCCGACTGGCGTATTGCACTTGAAAAAGACATGTTACTGTTGTGTTTGCTAGCACAGACCACAGGCTTATGGGGATTACTACAGGAATGTGTCACTGATGACTATCAGTGTGTTGCTGCTGTGTGCCACATAAAAACATCAAAAAACTTATGTTCCACTGACAGGTGCCACTTTATATCTGCAGGTACTGTGTAAAACAGGTAGCTAATGCCATAATGATATAGTGTAGGCAGCTGTCACTGATGTAATGAATGCTTTACTTTTCTAGTAGCTAAACTACCGGGATTACCTGAAGCTATATATTAGCCCTGTACAGCTCGAGCAGCCTTGGAAAAAGGTTGACCAATACTGCTACAAGCCAATAGGCATTAGATGAAGAGGCCATTTTTATTTTTTATAATAAAAGTAGTGTTATACATATGTATACAGTATGTAGGCATACTGTTAACACAGCAGCGACATATACCAGTACGATTTGCCAGTGCAGTGTGGTATGTACCTTTCGATTGGCAGCAACATACCGTACTTCTTGTCAAAGAGACAACTACTGCTAATAACAAATTACACACACAGCGGCACATCATAATTAGTAGTGGCCTATGGTATGTCAATAAGAATGGGTATGTACCAATGGAGAGTTGTATCAACCAGTGGAACATGAGTGACATACTATTTGTAAGTGCCATCAGCCAGTACAGCGGCATACCAAAAACCAGCAGTCACATGCTTCTCAGAATCGACATATGTCACTAGAACAAAAGTTGCATACCATGAGCCACTTTTTGATCTTGGCTCTGCTGCCAAACAGCTTCATTGTACACTTCAACTGTCCACTGAATTATGGTGGCCACAAAACTCCTACCTCATACCTATGAATATTATATTCCATTTCCAAATATTATACATGGGACCTTTAACTATTTCTTTCAAATCTATTCAGGTTAGATAGATAGATATACTAGACACATCAACAGGTCTTGTCATGAATAAGCAAAGTAGTGTTGAGCAATTCCCTAGTTAACTTGTAATCAAACAATTTGTAACCACAACACTGTGGACAACAAGACTTTAATATTCCATGTTTAATGGCCAATATTGTCTTGATACATTGTTATAAACCAAGATATGGCGTATTTCCTTTCAAAAGTAATTACTCTTCACTTAGAAACAGCTGGCAGAGTGGACTATCAAAGTGTTAAAGACATTATTCTGTCAAACAGTAAATATAGTAAGTGTATGGGCAGCCCTGAGTGACTGTTAGATTAATCATGTAGGATGGCGAACCTTCAGCGTCTATTTATGTCCAGTTGTTTTTATGCCACATTTTAAGTAACAAATCAAAAACATGTTGCTCAGTGTTTCCGTCATAAAACAAAGCAAATAAATATCCTCAGCATGCAGATGTCCAGAGCTGTGATGTGGGAAAATGAAGAGCGTGGTGTATCAGAAATCTTTCCCCGCTTGAGAAGACGCCTGGCTGTACAGGACGGAGACGGACCCGTCCATGGCCTCGCCTTAGCCCCAAAAAACCACAAAGCAGAGCCCTCTGTGATTTGAAACACATCTGGACTTGGAGCTGCCGTTTGAACACAGCTCAGCGTGTGTTTGTACACCTTGTTCCACAATAGCATCCATCACTCATGCATGCGGACACAAAGCAAGATGTATGGGTCAGAGCACAAGGCACAGTATTGCTTTTGCAGATAGTGCAGACAGATGTGCAAGCACACACAGACAGCAAAAGACCGCAAAAGTGCATGAGAAAAATGTTTCCACTACATGCAACAGAGTGTGCGTTTTGAGTTTCACAACAGCCAGTAGTGGCAGCAGCCTTCTCTTATGACTGTGGCATACATGGCATACATTTTGAACACAGACCCGGCCGCACACTCAAGCCCTGACCATTTAAAGTGCCTTAATCATGTCAGGCCTGATTTGTGGCGGCACTAAAGTTAGCTCATCCACGAGGAACCTTCCACCCTCTACATTTCAAAGCATATCTCCGCAGAAATGGAAAAACAAACACAAACCGGGTTTGCCTGAATGATGGTTTCCCAGATCGAAAGCCGCTTCAACAAATCCAACACAGGACTGCAGAAGCCCATATGTTCTATTCATCATCCAGGGTCAGATTTACATGCTAACGTCATTCAGTAGGCGGATAAATGCCAAGCCTGTCATCAGATCAAGCTGCAACCAGGGCACTTAGCTATAAAAATGTAATAATAGAGAGGTTACTCACCTAATGTATTGTCTGCTAACACCTTGTCAACATGCACATACCAGATGAAAGAAGGCAGCCAAATACAGCAGAATAAGCCAATCACGAGTCAAACCCTGAGGACTTGTGAACTTATTTCCTGTCGAAGCATCCATAAAGCACAGTTTATTTGCTTTCTGTTGACATTCCCCCTGCTTGGAAAAGATTACAACTATTCCATCTTGAAGATCCTTTTTCAGCTTTCTTAATTTATCCAAAGGGCAAGAATGACTCTCCTTAACCTGACCTTGTTTCATCTTTTCTCTAATCATTGTTGCTCAAAAGAACCAAATATGATAATACTGTCCCAAAGCAAGGAGCTCTTTTTCAGCTGGGACCCCCTACTTTAAACACCATTGGCCCTAAAACGCATCTGTGTTACTGTAAGGCACTTTGGCTTTGAGTAATTGTTGTGTGGTTGAGTCTGCTGCCTCTGAAACCACATTATGTTGGACTGAATTCCACCAGGGCTTAATTCGTGACTCATCCATGCTGGGTTATTGCCTTCTGAATGGAGAACACAATATACCAGACTACAATGGGTGAGTGGACTGTCCATTCTAATAATTCACTGTAAAGAACTCACAACATTGTTTGATTGGTTACAGAGACCAAATACTCTGTGCTCTGAAGAAAGACTCGACTATCCTAATCTATCATGATCGGTGTGTTTGGAAACCACTGTGAGTCCTGAAGCCTGATACCAGTGTTAAGATATTTTGTGCTAATACTCAGTAGTTTTAAAGCTGTCTTTATCTTGTTTGGGTTTTTTTGGCCACTTGGGGGCAGAGCTTCACATTAAGATGCAAATCACATATGGTTGATGTATTGTGGGCTATATAAAGCATGACTAATGTGTTTAAGGCCAGAAAAAAAACACCATAACTATGAGCGATACCTTTCACAGGCATTTAACCCATTGGTTAAAAACTGTCACTAGTGAAGCTTTAAATTATAGTTACATGACGAAAACATTCAGCGTTTCCTGTAGCTAAAAATGTTCAATAAAAGCTGCTATTTTTAATATATATATATATATATATATATATATATTGACCAAATACATTTTAACTCAAGGTCCACTTATTTATTAATTTTTTTTTGGAAATTTCAACCAAGTCTTCCTCAGTGGATGAAGTTTGCTTAGTTGTCATCATGTGACCTAAATATGGAACTTTGATCACGTGATACCATGTGATTGTATATAAGGGAGATGTTAACCTGTCTCTCTGTTCAAAGATGTTCTCTGGCCTCACATGCAAATGGCCTCCTTGATCTTTCTCTCTAGTCAATGACCTTTGACCCCTTCTCAGTCTATGCAGTGACCAGGTTTGGTGTAGTGTTCACAGACACCTGACCTGTCTGTTTCCAGTATTCTGGCATATGTCTTTTATCAAATGTTTAAAACATTATATGTAGATGATGGTATGTTTTATTACAGAGACCACAACAGCCATTCTGCAGCCGTGTAAAGAAGCGAAACCAGGTATGTACTTGGCACTCACCTCTCTGGTAAAGAGCATGGCAGTGTCATAGTGCTCTGGATGCCTCTGGCTTGGTGGGTTGAAGAGCTGCTGCCAGGAGCAGAAGTTTCTCAGTGCCACGCCTCCATTGCTGGAGACCTCAGGGCCGACCTCCTCATCCTCCACCACTAACATCTTCACCAACACCATGTTCACTGAGTTCTTTATGCTGGGGTGCTTGTAAAGCTGGGCGACCATCGACATCAGGGTCAGAATGTAGTGCTGTGGAGGACAGGAAAGAGCCCGACATTTAAAAATGTAAACTTCCATGGACATGAAGTTGCTTGAGACTTGCTTGGACAGTGCAAAACAAAGTGGAGGATGGATAAAAGAGAAAAGGGTTAAATAATAGTTGATATTAGTTTTTTATTAGATGTCTTTAAATTCTTTATCTACGACGGAGTATTAGGGCCAGACTAAGAATTTTTTTTGGAAAATTACGAAAATAAAGTCATAATATTACGAGAATAAAGTCGTAATGTAACGAGAATAATGTAATAATAATACA